GCAGGCCGAGACATGTTCTGAGGGCGATCTCTGAGCAACCTCGCCACCTTGTGAGAGAAGACCTTCTCCCTCTCATTTCCACCCCCCCCCGGGCGCGCCGCCGATTTTGGTCTTCGGGTCACAACTCAGGTCTCTGGCGGCCGTTCGGGACGATCCAGGGACCCCTGGAACGCCCTCGGCGATGCAGCTGCTGGCAAGCATCTCGAGGCTGGAAAACCGCCGAGAACCGACGAAGACGCCCGGCGCGCCGCCGATTCTTGCAGCACCCGAAGCACTGACGCTTCTGCGACGAGCCGGGGCATCTCCTAGCCTGGCGACCCCGGCAGACCCTCGCGTCCTGTCGTGCCCCGCGCCACCAAAGCGCCTCGTCCGCCACCGCGTGCCAGCGCGAGCCTGTACTTCGACGTCGACGACGTCGCCGTCGTCCTCGTCGTCGCCCGTCGCTGCCGTCGCCGCCGTCGCTGCCACCGCCGCCGTCGCCGCTGACATCGCCGCCGCCGCCGCCGCCGTCGCCACTCGCGGGAGGGGAAGGACGCAGAGGGGAGCGGGGAGAAGGGTCTGGACTGGGAGGAGGAAGGGACACGAGAGAGAGAGAGAGAGAACAAAAAAAAAAAAAAATGATCGACCCACGTCTCTGGAAAGGGATATAGGACTGCGAAACTTCGAAATTAATCAAGACCCCAAATTTGGGCAACGGGCAATTTCAATGCTCAATGGAGCGATGGTGATGTACAGTGCCAAGGGCTGTGCTGTGCTGTGCTGTGATGAACTAAGACGCGCTATGCCGCGTTGAAGTGCTGTGCTCTATTGCATTGTGGATCGGGACGTCCATGGCGTCAGAATCCTAATCGAACTGATTCGGATCTTAAGCTCGAGCTGCCTGAACGCATAGCTCAGATCTGGTCGCAATCGAAACGCGCGGGGCGTTCGACAAGCTCGAGCTCAAGATCCGATCCAGTTCTGAAGCGGGACGAACCCCAAGGCAGCGAATCTGAACAATTCTGTGCTCTGTTGCGTCGTGGATCAAATCTTCCCCGGCATCCGAATCCTGACAGAACTGAGCTGGGCTTCAAGCTCGAGCTGCCTGGGCGCATTGCTCACCCAAAACTGATTGCAATCGAGACCTTATGAAAGGATTATGTCCCGCAACAAGGCGAAATGGTAAGGGCGAGTCCAAACCGAGTCAAAATGCATCGAGAAGGGGCGGGTCGAAACGCCGACGACGACAACGACGGCGGACGGCAAAGGCGGCACCGACGACGACGACGACGACGACGACGACGACGACGACGACGACGACTGCGGACGGCGCTCGAGCTCGGGACCACATTGTTTGATATCCACCTAGGTGGCCTGGCACGAGAAAACACGTGGTTCCAGCACGTTAGATACCCCAATGGAAAATCAGAAAAATGACCAGCCGAAGAAACTCTGTCAGGTTATTACACAGCTGGTGTCGATGTATTGATATTGTCTGGTTCTTGCGGGCCCCTACGTTAGGGGCGCCCGGACGACCACATCTTAGATACCCCCCCCCTTGGGTGGCCCGCACACGAAAAAAACATGGTTCCAGCTCGGGCCAACCATGTTAGATCCCCTCTGGGTGGCCTGGGCACGTGAAAACACGTGGTTCCAGCTCGGGACCACCATGTTAGAAATCTCCCTGGGTGGCCTGGACATGCGAAAACACGTCGTTCCAGTTCGGGGTCACAATGTTAAGTGTGCCTTTCTGGTTGGCCTGGGCATCCGAAAACACGTGTCTCCAGCGAGGAACAACACAACCATCTTAGATAGCCACCTGTGCGGCCTGGACACGTAAAAACACAGTCTGCACTCCGAGGGTCACGTTCCCCAGTGAATTACGCGGCGCCCGCGCTCCCAGGGCCCCGACCCCTCGTAAATTAAGCGGCGTCCGCGCTCCCAATGCCGCGATCCCTGGTAAATTACGCGGCGCCCGCACTCCCTTCCCTCGTATACTACATGGCGTCCGCACTCCCAAGGTCAGGATCCCTGGTAAATTACGCTGGACTTGCGCTCCCGAGGCTGCGATCCTTTGCAAATTACACTTGATTTGCGCTCCCAAAGCCACGATCCCTTGAAAAATACACGGCATCCGCGCTCCCAGGGCCACGATCCCTCATACATTACGCGGCGTCCGCGCTCCCGAAGCCGCGATCCCTGGTAAATTACACCGGATTTGCGCTCCCAGAACCCCCTTGGCATCCTGGAGCGCCCAGGCCCGTCAAAGTTTGCAAATCGAGCGTTCCGCTGGAGACACCCTCAGAATTTCTGCGCGCAGGATGGCGCATCCTCGAGCGGACACGCAAAAAGTCAACACGTTCACATTTTTTGTGTCTCGGTCGAGGCTCCAAACTGAGTTTTTCTCGAAGATTCTGCCGAGAATACCCTGCATCCTTTTTTACGAAGGAAAACGGGTGTCTGCAGACGCAGTTATTTATCGAGGATCCGCGATGGGGGGCGCACTTTCCTCGAGCGGGCACGCGCGAAACGCACTTGTTCCACGCCGAGTTGGGCTTTACATCGTTTTTCATCGAACGGGAATCTGCTGGCCCCCTTCAAAATTGGCTCCGGGGATAGATTACCATCCTAAAAGAGAACCCTGGGCCCACGCCCTTTCCGGGAACATGATTGACTCACGAACCCGGAAAAGAGTATAGAAATGTAATGCATGGCAACGCTTCAAAGACACCTGATTGGGCGACAGGCAAATGCAAAGCTGAGTGTATCGATCTCAGTGTACCGTGCCGAGGGCTGTGCTGTGAGGCACCGTGCTGAATTGCGATGTGCCATGCCGAGATTGTGCCTTATAGCGTTGTGGATCGAGTCCTCCTTTGCATCCAAGAACTGACCGAACTGATCTAGATCTTAAACTCGAGCTGCCTGAGCACATAGTAGCTGCCCCAGAAGTATTTGACAGGGGGACATGCTAGGAGGACGCGCCGCGGAACGTCCCAAGGGACGCGCCAGGCGACGTGCCAGGGGACGTGCCATGGGGACGCACCGCGGGACGTGCCAAGGGGACGCGCTACGGAACGTGCCAATGGACGTGCCACGGGACGTGCCAGGGGACGCGCCGCGCGACGTGCCAGGGGGACTCGCCACGGGACGCGCCACAGAACGTGCCAGGTTGCAATGCTGAGTGTATCGATCTTGTTGTACAATGCCGAAGGCTGTGCTGTGCTGCGCCGTGCTGAATTGCGATGTGCCATGCCGCGGTTGTGCTCTATAGCGGTGTGGATCGAGTCCTCCTTTGCATCCGAGTCCTGATCGAACTGATCTGGATCTTAAGCTCGAGCTGCCTGGGCACATAGTAGCTGCCCCACAAGTACTTGACAGGGGGACATACTAGGAGGACGCGTCGCGGAACGTCCCAAGGGACGCGCCAGGCGACGTGCCAGGGGACGTGCCATGGGGACGCACCGCGGGACGTGCCAAGGGGACGCGCTACGGAACGTGCCAATGGACGTGCCACGGGACGTGCCATGGGACGCGCCGCGCGACGTGCCAGGGGGACTCGCCACGGGACGCGCCACAGAACGTGCCAGGGAACATGCAAGGTTGCAATGCTGAGTGTATCGATCTTGATGTATATACAGTGCCGAAGGCTGTGCAGTGCTGCGCCGTGCTGAATTGCGATGTGCCATGCCGCGGTTGTGCTCTTTAGTGTTGTGGATCGAGTCCTCCTTTGCATTCGAGTCCTGACCGGACTGATCTGGATCTTAAGCTCGAGCTGCCTGAGCACATAGTAGCTGCCCCACAAGTACTTGACAAGGGGACATGCCAGGAGGACGCGCCGCGGAACGTCCCAAGAGACTCGCCAGGCGACGTGCCAAGGGACGTGCCATGGGGACGCACCGCGGGACGTGCCAAGGGGACGCGCTACGGAACGTGCCCATGGACGTGCCACGGGACGTGCCAGGAGACCCATGTGTTTTCAAGCTTGCCCCGCCCTGGGGCGTTAGGAACCCATGCGATTTCGCGTATCTCCCGCCCTGGGGAGCTCGGAGCCCATGTGTTGTCACGTTTGTCCCGCCCTGGGGCGCTAGGAACCCCGAATCCATATTCCGATACAGAACATCCGTAAGACAAGCATTTCACCTGAGACATCCTCTGAATTCTGGCCCCCAGTAGAGGAACAATCTATCACACAAAACAAGCGTTTCGCTCGGGACATGGTCAACGAATTTTGAAAAATGACGTGGGCTCCGCGCTCCTAGTGCCCAGACACCTCGTACATTACGCTGGACTCGCGCTCCCAGGGCCAAGATCCTTTGTAAATTACGACGGATGCACGCTCCCAGGGCCACGATCCCCCGTAAATTACGCGGGCTTCGCGCTCCCAGTGCCAAACAATCTTGCGAACTACACTGGATTCGCGACCACAGGGCCACGATCCCTCGCAAATCACGCGGGATTCACGCTCCCAAAGCCACGATCCCTCATAAATTCGCTGCGCCCGCACTCCCACAGCCCCTTGGGGCATCCTCGGGCGTTCAGGTTCCTGGAGCTCCTACAATTCCAGCGTTTCGCTGGAGACATCCTCACACATTGTGCAAAACGAGCGTTTCGCTCGAGACATCCGCAACAAACGGAAACCCTCACTTTACCTCGTTATTTCTCGAGCGGAAGCTCAAACACATCCGCGTTTCGCTCGAGACGTCCTCAGAAATAATTCCGCTGGCTCTTTTCAACCTTGTCATTTATCGCAGAAAGAATTCGCCGGCCTCCATCAAGCTTGAACCGGGGGTTAACCCACTGCAAGAAAACCCTGGGCCCGCGCCCTTTCCGGGTAAAAATGCATGTTTGGACGCCATCATATCAAACCCTAGCGATAAGGCAAAATCAGCTGCCGATATCATTCGGACCCGGGACAAGCCTAGAGCATGTACAACTTCTCTGGGCAGCGGCACTGGCGGAGCAAACTGTAGCAGTAGTTCACTCGGACGATCTGAGGGCACGTCCATGGACTTCACGAAAGC